TGTGCCCCAGAGGAGCTACCAGTGAAACACGTCCCACCTACGGGCTGTGGCAGAGGAGAGGGAGGCTTACCCAAGCAAGGAGAGCCGCGGCTCTCGCGTCGTGAAGAGACATCTTGGCCAGCCTGCCAGGTCACTGCCCAGACCTAAAAACACCAGCAAAGGGGGGTGGGGAAAAAAGAAATGTAAAACATAGCAATTACTTTACTATATGACCTGCACTCAGCACCAGGCATTTGTGTCCGTCACGGAGGATGTGCCGCTGAGCCTGGCCGGCTGTGGGGGAGCTCCCCCCCCTGCTTTCCACAGGCACAGAGCAGGGAGCAGCACTGCCCAGAGCAGCCAGGTCCACTCCTACAGGTCAGGATCTTGACAAGAGGTCAACGGAAAACCACTGCTCAGGCTCCTTGTCCTCCAGCCACGCCTCCTTCCCTCTCCGTCACCCCCAAATGCTGCTAACATTTCTTTTAAGAGAAATTTAAAGTCCTAGTGAGCTCCTGGCACAGGGCCTGGCAGCTTGGCGGCACTTGCTGCCCCTCCAGGGACAGTGTCCTCCCTGCTGCTGGTCACAGCTGAGCACCAGCATCTCTGCTGGCACCACCAGCATCCCAGGAAAACTCACCTCCCTCCAGAAAACACAAGCAGCAGCTTTTAGAGGATGACGGTATGGTCCAAAGCACCAAAATCTGACCCTGTCCACCAGGAGGGGACTGAGCTCCCACTGTGCCACTGCCCACACCTGCTCTGGCTTCCTCCCAGCTGCGTGGCCACCCAAACCCCAGCGGCCCAGGAACAGGGGCTCTCTTGCCCCAACTGCCACCACTGCAGCTGCTGGGATCTTCAGAGGGCACCAGGCTGCCCTCTGCCCCCCGGCCGGGACACAGCCACCGGGGCTGGAAGCTACTGGCAAAGGTCACCTGGCCCCAAATAAGCCCAGCAAAGCAGTGGCCAAGCTGTTGGAGCACTGCCAGCTCCCCTGCTCACTGCTGCCAGTGAAAGGAAAACAACCTGCTGAGGGCACGGGGAGCTTCCTGGGCATCGCTGCACTGGGTGGGATCAGGGACAAGCTGCCCCACCGTCCCCGGGATACAGGATCACTGCCAGGTCCCCTTCACAGCGACCTTTGCCTCTGCACTGCCCTGTCCCCGGCGCCACCCCGTAATCTTCCTGGGAAGGGAACTGCTGGGAGCCAAAAAAATCACCCGGATGGGGAGGGGGGCTCCTCGCCCTGTATTGCACCTGGACACCCCCACTGTGATGGGCCTGGATCTGCTGCCACTCCCGGGAGTGCCCAGAACAGCAGGGCCACCAGCCATGGTGGCTCTGGGTGCCACGGAGCTCCCACTGCCATCAGCCCAACTGGGAAGCATGGGATCATCGGCAGGACAGGTCCTCCCTCCAGTCGGGCTAAAACACGGCTCCTTGCCCCCTGGCTGGGCCCCATGGCACCTACTGTCCCTCCATCCGGGGGCACGGCCAGGACCTCTCCCCAAAAATCCACCCGAAGGCAAAGCGGGCAAAGCACACGCGCAGCCCTGGGATGCACCCGAGAGGGCCATGCTCTGCCAGCGCCGAGCTGGGTTTTACTGGAGCCACTCTGCACACACCCCGGTGCCTGGCGTGAGATCAGGGCGGGCAGGGCTGCCTGCTGGCTCCTCACCGGTGGCACCGGCCACGCTGAGCATCGGAGACAACGCCATGACCCCGAGCGAGGACGTGCCACTCGTGACGGCGGGCGGGCAGCGGCTGGGCAGCAGCGCCGGGAGCGCCTCGAGGAGCGCTCAGCGCGGGGCGGCGGGAGCGCCGAGCGGCGGCACTGGCGGCGTTATTGTCCTCCTCCTCCTCCTCCGCCGCCGCCGCTCCGGTCACAGCGCCGCGTTACGCAAGCCCGCGC